CATTGTTCTGAATTGCTTGATTGATTCTGATCAATGATAATAATGTGTTATTAATAGTTTTTTCTCCACTTTTCATGTTGAATTCTGTAGAGAAACATTTTCATCAGAAGAATGAAAAAAAGTTCTCACAGAATGTTGTGTTATTTATATTTTCCCTGAATATGAATATAGAACATTTTCTCGCCTCATTTTCATCATTTATTTTCATTTTTGCCTTCATCATTTACTGAACACTGATTATCGGATAATGAGAAAAAAAGTTGAAACTGATTTTTTTTGTCAAATTTAAACTTCTTTTTCTCGGTGAACAGAGAAACACTTTGATAACAAATTGATAACTAGTCAATCGGCAGTTGATAACAGGGAATGATGACTGGGAATGCTTACAGGGAATGATAACAGATAATGATAATGTTGTACCAATGATAATGATTATACCAATAGGAATGATGATGATGAGGGAGACGAAATTTTCTGTCAACTTTTTTATTCCCTTAAAATATATAATATTATATCAAACTTGTGATTTGCAAGTTTAGATTTATTAGCTTTTTTTCTCTTTCCTTTCTCTTCTTTTTAGTGTAAAATGAAATGAAAAAAAAATACTGAATAATGTACAACTTTTTAGACTTTTTTTAACCCAAAAAACCCAATCTTTACTGATTTCCTCCTCTTCAACATCTTCCTCATCCTCATCACTTTTTTTCCTGCATTTCTTTATTTTCTCCTCTTTTTTATACTTTTTTTGCATTTATTGTTAAATCCTGGTTACTCCAGGGCTTAGTCCTTCTTTTACTTCATTTTTTCATCTTTTTTCATCCTCTTCTCTCTCTCTCTTCTCTCTCACTGTTTATAAAAAATCGACCAACGGCCTTTGTTTGTATCAGTGTCTTTCAAATAATAATGATGATGATGATCAAGAAACTTTGTGGTGATGACATGTTCATTCGACTTTTGGGGAGTTTTTTGAGTTTTTTTTAAAAAAAAGGAAGAGGGTTGAATTTGGGTCCATCTCTTATTATAATACTGAGCAAAATATTAAATCTTCAAAACTCTCGAGACTTTTTCATTTCTCTTTCTCTTCTTTTTCCTTCTTTCCTTTTTTTCATCATTTCTCTCATTTTTCGCTTCATTTTCTTTGCAGATTCTCGAGTCTTTTTTTTCATTTAAAATCCAAGATGATTTTTCTTCTGTGTTTGTCAAATATTGGAAAATGATTACTTTAGTTTGATGCCAAGAAGATTAAGATAAAGATGAGAATGATGATGATGATGAGGCAGGGAAAAGAATGAAATTGACAGATATTATTGTCAAATGCTCAGTTAAATCTTGTTCATCTTCTTTCATTATTCTAATGTTTCTCATTTATTCATCAATTGTTGCCATTTCCATCTAGAAAAAGACAATTATGGATTTGTGTCTGAAAATGTTAATGATTGAGGTTGAAAAGTGTTGAAAATGAAAGTAAAAAAAGATTTACAAAATAATAGTTTTCTTAATAATTCCCTGTTAATGGTCATTATCAAAGTCCAAATGGACATCAAGAGTTGAAACTGATGAAACAGTAAAACAAGGTAAAAATGTGAAACACCTTCAATTGAGGTTTCTCCTCTTCTCTCTCCTTCTCCTTGCTTGTTGCCCTGTTAAATGCCACTAATCATTATAATGAATATATTGATGATGGCCTATTATAATGATAATGTTTAATGTTCATTAGTTTGTCACGTTAGAAAATGTTTAACGATCAAAATCTGCAACTTTTTTCATCATTGGAAACTGGAAATTGGAGAGCAAAAAAACAAGGAAAACAACTTTTTTATGCACTCAACTGTCTCAAAGTTTATCATGTTCATCCAATTTTCATTGCTTTTCATTTTGGGCTAAACATTTATCAATGTTTAGTCCTTAATTTGGTTTAAAAGTTGATCATCAGTTTTTTTTTTCATTTCTCACTCAAAATCAGTTGTATTCAGGGAACCATGAAAATGGAGAGGAAAAATAAGGTCCAGAGTGAGTGAGTGAGGGGAAAGAGAGAAATGTTGTTTTCCAATTGATGAATTGTTGTAAAATAATGGTAAATTGCTTTTTTTCATTCTCATCTTCATTCTCTCATCTTTGCGCTCTTCTTGGCCCATTCTCACTCCAGATTCACCCTTCTCGAGGCTCACTGTTTTTTGCCTTAAATTTTGTGTCTTGACCACTCTTACTGATTACAATCCTTTTGCCTTAAATGCTTCTAATCACGCATCATCAGACTATAGGCATCATTATCTTCATCATCATCATCAGCTTTTCTTCCCTCCCAACCTCTTTCACCTATAAATACATGGAAACTCAATTTATCATTAATTTTAGAATCAAAAAAGTGATTAAATTTTCCCTTTTGTTTCTCTTGACGTTTCTTTTTTTCTTGTTTCTTCATCTCTTCTTGTTCAACCAAAGGTAAAAGTTCAATTCTTTTACTCTGAATACATTTCTCGACTGATTAATCTGCTAATTGTTGATTGATTTAGATATGCTAATTAGTTTTGGAGTTTAATTTAAAAATTTCTTCTTCTCTCTTTGCTTGTTGGTAAATCAATTGAAGCAAAAATTGTTTCAATAAAGCAAAATGAGGAGGAATAAAATGTTATAAATAAAAGATGATTCCAATCAATTTTAAATTAGATAATATTTTTATCTTATTATTTCATGGTAAAAATTGTATTATATTATCACAACTATTAATAAATTGATAAACTTTAAACTCAATTATATTTTTCCTTTTCTTGGAAATGGATAATTTAAATTTTCAATTTTCCGAGCAAAATTGTTCATTTCATTGTTCAAATTGAAGTTTCAGATTAACTCTGAAAATCCAACAAAGCAATTGAATCTAATGAATATCATCAATTAAATCGAAAGGAAAAAATTGGCAAATCATTCGAATCAAGTAAATTATAGTTAAAGAAAATATAAAGAAAACTTGTTCTCCAACGAAACACTCGAAACATCATGAATCATGATTCACATCGAATTCAATGAAATCGATTTTTGGCCATTCACCAGTTCTACGTTTCCCCTAAAATTAAATGAACAATGAACTTGGATATTGAATCGTCTACAATCAGATTTTCAAACGACGAGCAAAGACAAGAAATTTTCTGGATAATTTTCCTAATCTGATCGTAATAACGAAAATTGTATCAAAGATCAAAAGCTCGAGAAGGTCAGGAGAAGTTCATATTTCCATTCGAAACGATTTTCATAACTTTATTTCGATTTTCAAATCGAATCTGTTTCAAACAGAAATAACGAGCATTTCCAAATGAAAGAAGATTTTGGTGAAAATGGAAGAAATTGGAAGCGCAATAAGATTAAATCTGAAGACAATTGGAGGAACAATGTTCATCTGCATATAGATGAATATGAATGGAATGAGAAATGAATGTGAAAAAGATAACTGCGAAATGAAAGAAAAGAAAAGTTTTGAGCATCATTTTTCTCTCTTTTATTCCGTCCTCATTGATCTTGTTCGTTGTCTTCAGAAACTCTCTTTTATCAGTGAGCATCCATATTTGTGTTTACCCATGGGGCATATCGACCCTGACAGCATCAATCATACACCCAATAAGCCTTGCTTGTGCTTCACTATTCACCATCATCATCATCAACATCCTTAACTCCTTACAACTTTTTGCATCTTTTTTTTCTTCTCTCGCCATCATAATCATCCTTTTTTTAAGCAACATCAAACTTTTGTATAATAACTGTCACCATCCCTTTTCCGCATTCCCAAACATAAATATATCTACTTGATGTTAGTTGAAAAAAACAGAAAATCTTTTCTCATTTCACCTTCTTTTTCTTCTTCTTCTTCATCATCATCTTCGTCTTCATCTCTTCTTTTTTCAAACTCTTGATGTATTGAGTTGCTGAGAATAACTTGAGGCTCTTCTTTATATTATTATTTTCATTCTTTACTCTTCCTTATTTACTATTATTAATATTATTAACAGTTGAGATTATCATTTTCATAATGAGCTTCCCTGTAAATGTTGAACAGTAAACTATACAAAAGTGTTGCATTCATTTTCATGGCTTATAGGAGGAAATTTGATAAACATTGAGCGACTAAATTTAAATGTTAATTATGTACATTAAACATATTATAATGTCTTTTCTCGAAACTTGAAATGTCGACTTTTCAATCTCAATATTATAATGTCTTGATATAGAGCTTGAAATGAAATTCAAATTATGCCAACATTTAAGATGAAATTTGCTCCCTTAATATTGCCTTTACCAGATTTCATCAAAAATTGACTTCGAGTAAAATTGGGAGAATATCGTAAATCAAAATTAACTAGAAATGATGATTTAATTGTAATAGTAATTACTTTGGTTGACATTAATTTAAATTGACTTTTTTTAAGAGAAAATTTAGCTTTTTTATTCTTGCAACATTTTATTATTATGTTGATGCATTGGCATTAACATACAAGTTAATATTATTATCAATGCATTAAAATAATACGATAAAGCTGGGAGTCAATTTTATCTTTCTCAAGGGAAGTTTCAATTCCCCTTTGCTTTATAAATGTTTATTATTGATTGAAGTTTCATTGTAATATTATAATTGTTTTATTTTTTAGCTTTTTCTCCTTATTCTTGGTACTTTGGTTATCGTTTTTTTGGAGGTTATATCTGCCTTTACTATTGACGTAAGATTGATTATAATGATTGCCATTTATGATTGAAAGATATCAACTTTCATTTCTTATTATTTTACTTTTAAGGATAAAATAATAATGTAAGAGTGAAATATAAGTAAGTGTTGATCCATGGACAATTAATGATCCTGATTAATGGTTTATCAGGTAAAACTAATGATAAATACATCAACAGTATTCGATGGATATTATCATAAAAGATTCATTATAATTGTGTTTGAGATTCAACAATTGAAGTTGTCTGAAATAGGAATTTAAATTAGTTGATTAAAGAGGAAAGAGAGGAAAATAAAAGTAATCAAGATTAATATTGTCAAGATAATTATCGCAAGGAAAGAGATTCAGAGAGTGAATTTCATTAGTTGTTACATTAATTTGGGTTTAGTTGAGGCAAGAAAATGGGAAAGTTAACAGAAGTTTTTGCGGTAGCAAATGATAAGCTGATTGAATGATGATCAGCATTGATTAAACAGACAAAAAATGCTACTGAAAGCAATTCTTAATGATTGAACCTTGATTGTCAGAAAACATGAAAGTTGAATAAACTTGTCCAATGATAATGATGATGGCTTTGGTTACAATTATTATTAGTAAACTTCAATGGAACCTCATTGTAAGTTAATGTGTCAAATATTGGTTGAGTAAAAAATCAGGAATCGAATGTAGAATAAGATTAAATTAATGGAAACGGTCAACGATTAAAATGGAGAGAAACCAGTATCGACATGATTCTCATCATCAACATTATCATGACAATCATCATCAACTTGTTTCAATCATTAGTGGAGCTTCACCATTTCATTGCGACTAAGAACAATTTGCTAATCAGTGTTTTGTCCAATGACTTATTTGGTTTCCTGTTTTGCGGTCATTTTTTACCATTCACTTGAAATTCTGATTCTAAGGAGAGAAGAGGAAAACTCGTCATTAGTATTTGAAATTAATATAAATGGTAAAGGAAAATATGAAATACGAAAAAGTATCATCAGAAAACAAGGTTAACAAAATTATTTTTCCCTCAACCTTTCATTCAATGAATATTAGGTATAAAATACTATTATAGATCTACCAATCAGTTCCCAATTGTGTTCAATTAAATTACAACCAATATACATACATCAGAGAGTTTACTTTTTTTATACTGTTATTCATTTCTCATTGTCTCTTAATGAATGTCTGTCACGAGATATTTACCAAAATATAAAAAAAACAACATTCACCCAATGGATACTCATAGACAGTCTTATTCATAGTTATGTTTTTTTACTGTTATTGTTGTTGTTTCCAGCTTGTATCAGTTTGGTTTTTTTACCATGTTTCATGTTATTGACGGCGTTGGCTGTAAAACTGTGATACTTTTGATTCATTCATTGGGCTCATCTTCCTTCAATCTTTTCTCATCATCGTGTTCAGTCCTTTTCATTGCAAGTGTTGGTTCCAATTCTTTTCTTCATTTCCTTTCTTTGCTCTTCCTCATCGTCTTTAATCGTCTTCTTCATTGATTATATGTTCCTTTTCCTTCTTTAATCACAGTCACCACCCAATTGAATCCAATCCTAAAACGCAACTAATTTACCTTTAGAGAGAGAGAGAAGAGGGAAAATAAAAAACGAAATGTTAATAGTAATATAAAGTAAATACACATTTAAACCTATTAATACAAAATGAGTTACCAATGGGTTTACTTTGCTTGGATCATTTTATTTTCATCAAACCTTATAAAGATTACTTAATAATATTAGCTCAATCATTTCACTCTTGTAGTTTACTTACGATTGGAAAGAAATTAAATTGCCACCCTTAATTGATCCTGATCATTTTGCGATTGTCCAACTGATTGATGTTGCTTCAATAAAATTAATTGATATGCCTTTTAGTTAATTGATGAGATGATTGACTTAATATGATTATCATCATCATCATTATATGGATTGCCTTTTCCTTGCCTCTTTCTCCTTGCCGTTTAGTTTACCTTAACCATTGAACCTGAAAGGATACAGAGTAAAGTTGAATGAATACTGTTATTATTATAATAAATTATGAAAATTACATTGAATCAAAGATTAGGCTTTTACTTTACCTGCTCCTGTATTTTGTTTAATTTAAAAGATTAATAGTATAGAGTTGCAATCATCAGGTAGAATGTTTCATCCTAGAATATGTTAATAGAGTTTAAAGTTGGCTCCTTCTTTTGCTTCTTTATAATTCACTTTTCCTCTTTAACCTTTTTACAATTTTCTCCTTCCATCACTACCAATCTAAAGTAGCATCATTATGGATCCTCGATTCTTTTCGCCTCTCTTCCTCTTCTTCTTCCTCCTACTCATCATTTTCATCTTCTTCATTTTTTTCTTCTCTTTCCTTCGGCACCAATCCTGTTAGATCTGACTATAATCTATTTACAACATATTAATTTATAATGCATCAGCATGATAAATTATTTGAGAGTAAATTATACTCCTTGTCAATCTATTTTCACTCCCAAGGTGTCTTTTTATTGACGATGGAGTCATTTTCATCCAACAACAAGAAACAGGTAAAGAAGCAGCAAGAAGAAGGTAGAAAGAGAAGAGACGAATTGTTGAAAAATTTTCCTTTTTCTTTCCAAGTTTTCATCTTTTCCCATGCTCTGAAGAGTTTCCCTTTCTTTTATCCATTGTTGATCTGTTTCAGACAATTTTGGTGATTCTTTCACTTTAAATGATACTCTTTTCCAACAGAAGAGACAAACTAATTCGTGATTAGATCAAGAAACATTTCACTTTGGTGTTTTCCTGTTGTTATCGTCCATATCGTCTTTAATCGTTCAATATAGAAAGGCTCCTAATCTCCAACACATTCTTTAAGTTGATTCTAATGACGAAAGAGAAGGAGAAAGAAAAATTGATAAGTGAGTGGGAAAAAATAGAGAAATACTGAAAACAGTGAAATACATTGGAAAAGACAAAGAGTAAGCTGAAACTCCTTATCAGTTATCATCATGAAATCGTCTTCTTCTTCTTCATCTTCTTCCTCTCCTTGCTGGCCTGTTATCATTTTAAAGAAAAGCCAAAAGATAAAGTTAACACAAATAGTTGAAAAGGGAGTTGAAGGGAGTTGAAACTGGTTCAGTCAATGACCTAATGGCAATTCCAGGTCATTTTGAAATGAAATTGCCTTAAAAATAAAAAAACAGCAGCAACAACAAACAAGTTGAAGGATCCAGAGGGGAGTAAAGGGAGAAAACAAAACAAATCCCATTCCCGGTTCGAGAATTATTTCCTGCTCAAATGAATCCAAGTAAACTATTCAAAAAAATAAAATAACAAAACAGAAGAAAAAAAATAATATTAAAAAAATAGTTATAATAGCAGTAATGATGATGATGATGGTGATGAAGAATGTTTAAACTAAGAGCTGAAAGAAGGGTAACAATAAGGTTTGAGAGGTCATTTGGTAGGACTTGGTTAATGGCTATGCACACAGGGTAACATTAAATTTAATAACTCACAAGGTAAATTGTTGGATACATCATGTAGTTAAATTTTTTTTCGTAAACCTGAAAGAGGAGAGAAAAAAATGAAACTAAAGATTAAATCAAAATGAGTTATATCTGTTTTTGTTTTCTCTCAACTTAAACTTGTTCATCTAGTAATATCTCTTTTTTGGGTAAATTTTTTCACCTTTTTGTAGGCCAGCATCATCATCAGTTACCTTTTTCTTGGATGTTGAACATAACTGGAAATTTTGAAACAAAATTTACTACGTCTTGACCAATCAAGGCAGCTTCTGTTCATCCATTGTTCACTTTTTATAAGTTGGTGTATGTTTTGTGTTTTGTAATACAGTAGTGGCCAGAGTTAAGTTAACAAAATCGGAATTTTTTTCATAGTCACTCTCTAACAGTAAATGAAAGTTCCAAGATCGAACTTTGTTTTTTTTCAGTTTTCTATTGAAGTTTTGTTTTTATCTCTACAAACTAAATATGCTCGAGATGGTGGAACCTGAAAATTAACTCAAAACTGACCCTTTTTTGGCAACTTTACCCTGACCACTATTGTAATACCAAACTGTGTGCATTGGCAGGTTATCATTTTCATAGTTCAATTGTTTCCAATAATCTTTCTACCATGTTGCTTTCCTTCTCATTTTTAACTGTAAACAACAGATTCAGAATCTGAAAGAAAAGAAAGAGAAATAAGAATGAGATGATGATGATGAAGGAAAATGAGAAGTAAAAAAATTTTGTTATGCTTATCACCCTATATGTTTTTATATTTACAGATTACATTCAGAATTGTTGTTTGTTGCCCATTAATTTCAATTCTTTCCTAAAATTACCTTTGAGACTTTGATGTAGACTGAGTATTTTGCTACTTTTTGCTGCTTTGGCTTTCATCTTTTTTCCATTTCTTGATAGCCTTTTCACCTTTTTTTGCTCCTTTCAATATTTTCATTTGCATTTCCTTTTATCTTCAACATTTTTCCTATTTGCTGTTTCTCTTTTGTCTTTACGTCTCTTCTTTTTTATCCATAAGTAATGTTGAATATGAATATTGATAATGGGTATAAATGATGATCCATGTCACTGAGTATATAATTAATTACAGTGATTACGCTTGAAAACAACCATGTTTACACTCTGAGATGACAATCATGGCAAGTTACTTTCTCTTTCTGTTTCTTGGTAATACACAATCTCTCTGGATTCCAGCCAACTTGTGCCATTGCCTTTGTACAAATGAATTCAACTGTGAGTTCGGTAATACAAATTGGATTGTCACCTTCTGGTAATGACAATTGATAATTAATTGTGTGTGTACACAATTATTGACCTTTCCTTGAGTTGAGCCAACAGATTAATGGTGAACAAAATAAAACGTAAAAAACGAGTAAAACCTAAAAAAAGGAGAAATAACAATTAGACATTTTCATGATAAATGTTGTTTTAGTTGGCTGAATGATGCTTACTTGATTTTCAGTAGACTTGGATCATATTTGCTTGTATCCCTTGCTAACTTGAAATTGTACCTTTTTTCACCTCATCTGAGACTCTGTTTATATCAATATCGTTTTGAAGGCGATGAGTGAGACTGGACAAATGATAGAGACAGTCTAAATGATGAAGATGGAGAGAGAGAAAAGAGAACCAATTCGACGAAAAAACAACGGTAAGGTCAAGTGCACCTTGGCTTTTTTAGGATCTCTCCTTTTCTCATTCTTCTAATTTTTTTACAGTAAGCATGATCGGTTCATCAATCACACAATTCATCAAACAATGTCGGCCTAATGGAAAACCATCCTAATGATCTTTCTCAGGTCAAGTAATATTCCTTTGAACCAAACTTTCCAATTGTACAACATGTATATGTATAAAACACGATTTTAGTTCATTTCTCTGTCTCCTTCTCTTCTGTTGTTTTTTTATATTTCATTTCATTTGATGGTCCTTTCTCTTGTCTCTGTCTTTATTTTTCATCCACTTTCTCCTTCATGGTTTTCCTTGATGATGTAGATCTTAGTCCAAAAAAAAGTTGCATTCAGCAAAGCCCAAAATACGATTAATCTTGTTCAACTCACGCTGGTCTCTAGCGAGAGAGTCAGTTAACGTTTTTCCCCCAATTGATGAAGATTCGACTTGAGTTTAGTCCATTGGATCCATTGCTGATAATTTGAGGCTGGCTTAAATACACATCTAAACAAATTGTAAAATGATCTATAATTGTAAAAGAGAAAAGAAATAATGAAAAATAATAAAAATAAATGAAATTGGGTAAAAAACATAAAGATGGAAATGCAGGGAAAATAAAACATAAAGTATTATAAGAGAAATAGGATTAAAATTACAAGACTTTTTACGACTTGCTGTGAATGATCAGCAATTTACAATAAAGCTAAAAAAGTGGAACAAACATTCCTAGAAACAGTTTCTCGATACATTTTTGAATAACTCTAATAAAAGATGATCTCAACTTACATGGGCCGATGGTAAAGTTGACCTTAATCAGGCAAGGAATTAAAAAATTATTAAATGCACAAATGAAGCGAGGGAAACTCTAAGAAATACGACGCTTTTAACGGATTATCATCAAGTCAGCTATTCTTCAATTTTAAGAAACGGACAGCTTAAATTTTGAAAAAATATAAATCTTGAAGATCTTGATCTATCGACAAAATCAATTAATAAGCTTAAATTAATGTAAATTATTGTAAATTTATCATAATTGTTGCAACTTGTATTGATAAACATTTATTTCGGGTTTGGACATGATACAAAAAGGGAAGCTAAGTTGCGCGTTCCCGTTGATTACAGTGTTTTGAATGTTGGGATGCAAAAAAAGGTTAATTCAAAAAAGATTGTGAAGTTTAGAGTTAGTCGGAATGATTACATGTTTTACGTTTTTTTGTTGGCTTTTTCAAGTAGTACTCCTCAATACTAGGAGCTATGCAGAGGGAAAAAATTTCATTTATGAAGTGGAAGGATTTTGTTATATTGTTAGTTAGGATGAAGTTGAAAATGTTGGTGTTTGAAATGTCATATTTTTGAATGAAGGAGTTTCTGGAGGAGTCAAAGGCTCTGCATTGAGATATCCAATGAATGTTATCATTCATCTTGGACACACATATGCAGTCACAATCTTTGACCATATTATTGTATTTTTCAACGACAGTTTTAGTCATGTTGTCTATTTTAGTTCTCGAGTTGAGATATGTCCAGGGACCGATTGATTTGTAAGCGCTGTCAGGTTGGTTCATCCAGATTTTGTTCAGCAATTTGTTGGCGTTATCTTCAGATATCTGGTTATAACCCCACCAGATCGCTTTGAAGTTGATTGAGGGTGCTAGTGATGGAAAGTTGTTGAAAAATTGTATGTTTTCATCAGGTTTGATGTTGTTGAAGAGTTGGATTAGTTTGTTTTTCATGGAGATTTTTATTATTCTTATCCATATTGGTTCTCTCCCAATAAGAGAGCAGGCAGTTAGCTGATTGATGCTCCAGTCATATTTACATTTGAAACGAAAGAGGTGATTGCATGCATATTCGATGTTTAGTTTAAGTTGGTCAGAGGAGATTAATTGTTCTAGAGTTAGATCCGCATATGTCACCACTTTTGACTCAAGTAGAGCATTCGTTATGAGTTTGGTAGTATGAAGGGGAAGATGTTTTATCTTAGGATTGAGCGATGTAATGTTTTTTTGAAGGATCTTGTTAGGGTGATTAGAGCTGATCTATTATTTTGATGAACTTTATAATTGAAGTCTGTTAACACTAAAGGAAGATTATTTGGTTCTTGGATGAAGGCGATGTGGAAGTCAGTCTTGATTTGGTTAATGATGTTTGTTGTTTTTTCCAGGTTGTTACCACAATTTTGATTAATTATTTTGAGTTCCATAACTCCAATCCGTGATAGCTTTTAGACTTTTAATGGCTTTGATGTAAGCTTGGCAGTTTATCGATTTTGGACGATGGTTGACTTCTCTTTCTTTGTTATTGACACACAGTAAACAAATGTTTGTTTTTGGAAGGTTACACGTGGTAGTGTTGTGTTCGCCTTGGCATTTTCCACAGGTGGTCTTGCTTGTACAGAATTTGGAGGTGTGGCCAATGGACAGGCAGTTGGAACAGGTTCTGATGTAGAAGTTGTCCTTTATCGGAACACTTTCTGCACCAATGTAGATTCTTCCTTGATTTTCTAGAATTTGACGAGCATTTCTCGAGAGCCTGATAATCAGTTTTTTCTTGGGTTCTTTGTTGTGAATCGGAATGTCATATGTTTGTACAATTTTGACAAATTCCTCTTCAGGAATGTTGTTTCGTTTTTTAATTGTTTCTTCAGTTTCAACGGAGAAGCTGTTAATTACTGCAGATATTTGGGGTAGAAGCATTTTCATTTCTTCCATTTCAAGTTTATCTTTTAATTCAGTAGTCTCAACGTGAGATTTGATCTTGTCCAACGCTTCTTCATTGTTAGTTGTTAGTTTGACAGCTGTCAAACCTGCCTTTGCTTCATCTATTTGAACGGAGTTGTCTTGTTTGGTGAGAGTTGTTATTTCCTTGAGAATTCTGTCTGGTTGAATCTTTGGGTCTTTGCTTTTAATAATGTAACTTTTTGCTTTACGAGCTTGTTTAGCTTGAGTAGAATTGTTGGCAAGTTTGTCTAGAATCTTGTTGGTGAAGCGGTCCAAGGTGTAGGAATTGTCAGGTCCAGTGGCATTGGTTTTTGCGGCGTGATCAATCATGGTATTGATTATGTTGATAAAGTTATTTACTTGGTTAGATACCTTTTCCTTGGCAGTCTTACTCATGTTGTTTAACATTGCAGTGGCAAAGTCTTGAATGTTGTCTCTAACATGGTACAAGGTTGATGGAGTGTCCATGTGTTTGAGTGCATTGGTGACAACCGAAGTGTTTTTACACACTTTAATCTCGTCGTAGGTAAAGTTGAATTTGTTTGTTGATGTCATTGTGTAGCTTAGGTGTTAGGGAATTCAATTTTCACAATATAAACAATTTAAATTAAGGTTAATTAGGTTAATTAGTTGAAAATTTGAGGACAAAATTTAAACGTGACGTTGAAAACAACTTGCTGAAGCTAGTGGCTCCACATATTGACAAAAAAGAAATTACGTTCAAATTAGACTCACTAACTCCATCTATTGATGACAACTAGTTGATGGACAGAGTTGATCTAATCACTTCAATTTTGAGTGACAATTAGCACAACAGTCAAACCTCCGAAGAAGAGTGTCTGCCATCAAAATCGACCCTCACCAAATTATAAAAAACTTGATGAAAGATGGCATCAAATAACCGTGTAAGGTCTTATCAAAAGTTCCGTTGTTGTCACATTTGGCCGCATTTATGCTCTAAAGTTAAATGTTTTCATAGACCTCAAACCGCGTATTATGGCCGTTGAGTCATTCAACTTCTTAAGTCGATCATATGATAATGTCACCGTCAAAAATGATTCTGACTAGTTAAATGCTTCAAATATTACTGACAATAGCTGACACAGCAGTTTATATGTTCAGCCTTTTGACTGTTTCAGGTGTGTGATTGACTCTAGCTCTTCAACCAATTGACTTACAGTAAATCATAGTAATACATGTACATCTGAAAATTTCATTAAATGACGTAATGATGATTCAATCAAGCAACAGAGAAGGAAATTTATCGAGTTTTCTCGTAAAAGTTGACGGAGTCAAATCATCCATCTGAAATGAACCGATTCCCCAAGATTGATAAATAAATGTGTGACAATGAAAATAATCATAAATTTTTCCTTTATTAATTGAAACTTGGCCTAATGCATTACTATTGAATCTAATTTATTTAATTTTAAACGTTTGAATTGGTTTTGAGATTAGTGAAGTTTATCCAGGAGTACAAATATTCACCGATCAGGCTAAACAGGCAAATAGGAATCATAAATAAGAAGCAATTGTAGAATAGCTTATAATTTTGAACATCTAGTTGATTGAAACGGTATAAAGCAGGTTTGGAGCTGATAAAAGTTTTATGTAAGCAGCCAGACTTTTGCTCAGGATCTAACATCTTGTAAAGGTACGAATTCCATTTATCCAGGAGATGAAACTCGACGTGACTTTGGAAGTTTTTCTCGCACAATAGATTGATGATTTTGGTGGCATCAGGAGATAGTTTTGAATTTAATATTGAAAACAATGGATAGACGGGAAATGATCCAGTTGATTGATGCCATTGTGGCATTGGGCGATTTACATTTTTTACGCAATTGCCTAGTCGCACTGGTTTCATCGAATATGGATTATTAAAAAAGACATATTTTTCTATTTTTATCTGTTGTTCCATAAATAGGCCGAAAGAATCTCCCAATGTTATGTACTGTGCTCGCCTCATGATCTCTTGCCCAGCACGAGAAGGGTTGCTATTCACGAAGGCTCTGCAAAATGGATCTTCCATCCAGAATGGAATCCTATCGGAGTCTGCAACATCTTCAAGTGAATCAATCGTTTTAATGGGCACTTTAGCTGCAAGATCTGTAGTAAACGAACCAGTATAAAGTGCTGTCATTAAAAATATTATTAAAATGATTGACATCCAAATAAATCGCAGAGTGTGAGTGTAAAATAGAGCTTGTTTCGACAAGTCTTGTCGCAAAATTGCACAAATCAAAGGCCAGACAATCGGTGGAGAGTTGGTCTTAAACTCACAAAAGTTGGACTTGAAGTACCACAGAATGAAAGGAATTGAAAAAAGAAACAGGAAAAGCAAAGACAAGAATATAGTTGCATCTAAAGTGAATATCGATAGTGATTTGAAGACATCTTCACGAGTTATTCCAGTTTCGGGTAAAGCTGAGAAAATGTTGCAAGAAACATCACCAACCACTGCTCCTGGTTTCAGTCCAGTAATTGAAAGGGGAATTGTTGCGAATGTAGATCCAAATTCAACTAAATCAATTTCACCTCGTTCAATGCGTCCCATAAGGCCAGTACAATTCACAGAATCACAATCTCCATATACGCGTTCACCGAACACAACAACAGTGAAATTAACCGAAGCAAAACGCTCTAAATTTTTATTCATGAACCGAGCAATCTGACCAACGTATCTATTTTTAAGAGGATCATAAATTGCAAGTGTACCTCGATCAATGAAACCAAATTTAAACTGAAAATTTAGATTCATAACGACTTGTATTTATGTCGATTAAATTAGCGTAAGTTCACAGATGAAGGATGATTGTTTAAGGCGATCATATCCAGATTTTGATGCTGTTTCATCTTATTTAAGTTTTACGACCAATTCAAACTGAAATACTTCTGTATCTGGAAGAAACACTCAATAAATTGCAGAAATTAATGTTGGTAGAATGTTCCATTCCATTTGTGTAAAGTTCAGATGGAAAGACAAAAAAAGATAAATGGATAGATTTTTCTGAATAACTGTTTTTCAATATTTCTAACGATAATTCTGATAAAATGCAAAGATCATAATAATTATTCATAAATAATTGTATCGATTTAGAATTTGCTATTGAAAATTTAATATTCATAAAATGTGAATCAAATAGAAATAGAAATGCATTATCATAGCAGAAACTATTAAGAATATATTCTTAGGTTTTTATGGTAAATGTTGCAATCTAATTGTTTTGATGTTCTAATGGTGTAATAAAGACTATAGTCTTACAATTATTGTAAGATATTCCTTTATTGTGATGCATATTGAGATCTAATGGTTTTAAGCTGATCTAATGCGAAAATTGAACGCTTTACGAATAGCATATCAATTGCGTTTGCCCTTTACTAACCTACAAGATTAGAAACACTTAGAATTTTAGAAATAATTATTCAATTGTTGAATTTACACTCAATTTCACTTACGAAAAGGACACCAAGTCTATCAGAAATCAACAACACTACGGATAGATAGTAATACATGAAAAGCATAATGAAATGATGCTGGACAATCACTTAGGATCCTTTTGGTATCAAAAGAAGCTATTCATTCTTAGTGAAGACGAACCGGTGTTCACTCTTTTTTTGGCATCACTTGTTGCTGTAAAAAAAGAAAAAAATTATTGAATAATTACTGGAAAAATACAGCGAACGAAATACCTTCTTCAGTTTCCTCTTCATAAACTTTCCTAGCGTTGTTTTGGAATTTTTGCTTTCATTTTGTTTGTCATGGTGCAAGAATCCAAATTAAAATTGGTTCTTGTTCCTATGAAAATAATAGTATCAATATTAATAGGTATTGGCTTTAAAATTTATTAATACTTACCAATGAAAGTTACTACTCCTGAGAGTTGGAATTTTTCGTTTTCAGCTTGATGCCAAGATCAAGTTCCTCGGGTATGATCTTATCCGTTAAAACATTGACGACTTCTTTAGTTGAGCACGTGTGTCGTTATGGGAAATCTTAATTTGGGTCTGTGTAAGATTACAATATGCGATTATGAACAATGAAAATACAGAACGAAATGAAATGAGAATGAATTTGAACAATAAAATATTAGAATACTATAGTGAAAATTCAATTTGATTGACGATGTTTAATTGTTATGATTAATTTGGCTACAATGTGAACTGCTGAGTAACATCGTTTCACCATGTAGATGGCGCAACATCTGTTTTCTATTTTAAATTAAACATTTGTATGAAATGATGTAACGTTAATTATAATTGCACTATAATGCGGACAGATGGCGATAGCACTACTGTCGTGGCCTCAGAATCTTTCGCTGAGCTCGAGAAGAGCCACTGTTCACCATGATTTTGTATCAAGAATGGAATCCTGAAATCCAGCCTCGGCGGCATCAATCTTGCCTCGTTAAATGAGTCCAATAAGGCCTGTACAATTAACAGAATTACAATCCTCAAAATAGTGTTCCTTAAACAAAACAATGTTGTAATTAATCAAAGTATAACGCTCAAAATGTTTATTCATGACCAACATATTTATTTTTATTAATAAGAGGATCGTAAATTGCAAGTGTGGCTCTGTCAATGGAATCAATTTTAAACTCAACTATGCTTCTGTATCTGAAAAAGCAATAATTATAGCCGGAAGATAAAAAGAGATGGAAAGATAGTTTTTTTCTGAGTAACTGTTTTCAATATTTCAAACGATGATTCTGATGAAATGCAAAGATAATAATAATTATTCATAAATAATTGTATCGATTTAGACTTTGCTATTGAAAATTTAATATTCATAAAATGTGAATCAAATAGAAATAGAAATGCATTATCATAGCAGAAACTATTAAGAATATATTCTTAGGTTTTTATGGTAAATGTTGCAATCTAATTGTTTTGATGTTCTAATGGTGTAATAAAGACTATAGTCTTACAATTATTGTAAGATATTCCTTTATTGTGATGCATATTGAGATCTAATGGTCTTAAGCTGATCTAATCATTGGATTCTATCTAGAGTATTGAACGCGTTATGAGAGCACAAATACCATATGGTACACTGTATCAGTCCTTTATATGTCGCCACAGGTAGATACATACACAGGTCATTTATCGCGTCCTTATTTTCAGATCCTTGTTAGTATGTAACTCGAGCATTTCTCTATTCCTTATGCTGAAGTATTGGATATAAACAAAATTTGATAATATTTTACGAAAATTTTCAGCATTTCAGAACATTAAACGCTTATTTAATCAATCAGCGAGTCTAATCATACACTGTGATGCATAGCATTAAGGACACCGCCGATTTCCCAAGAATCAATGAATTTAATCCAATTGAAGGGATTTTTCTTATTGGTATATGTTTATTCACACATTTTAAGCCAGATTAGGCACTCAAAAGTCGGACATTTCACTAATTAGCCTCACTAATTGTTAATCTTCATATGTTGACCATATGGAGTTGATGCATGGTATTAAGGACACTTCATGTTTTGACTATAAATGACCTTTTTTTCGGGAAATCTGACCATTCCAAGTTATCTATTCTTTGCAATAACATATTTTTCGAAGTTTTTTTCAATTTTTGAAAGTTCATTGTTTTTAAATTAAGTTATATAATGGGTAAAGGTGCAGACATAAGTGATCGAGAAATTGGTCAAATAATGGCTTATTGTGATCAAGGTTTATCGATAAGAGTGATTGCTGATAAAATTGGAAGGTCAAAAAGTGCTGTTGAGAGAGTTATCAACCACCCGGACCAATACAATCAAAACAATCGAAGTGGACCTTCGTATAAATTGAATGACCGTGATACTCGGCAAGCTTTACGTTTATTATCTAATGATAAAATGTCATGTGCGGAAGTATCAAGAGTCATTGGTGTTGACTGTCATCGTTCAACAGTTCACAGAGCTGAACATATCGATTTCCGACAGCCAAACACCAAACCACCATTGTCGCCTGAGCATAAGAAGGCAAGACTACAATTCGCTAAAGATCATATCGATTTTGAAGATAAATGGTTAAAGGTGATGTTTTCAGATGAGAAAAGGTTCAATTTGGATGGCCCTGATGGCAACAAATGTCATTGGAGAAACCTGAATACGCCTGAAGTGCAATTTTCTAAACATCAGTTCGGTGGTGGTGGCGTTATGATATGGGCTGGAATCACTTACAACGGTACTACAGGCATAGTTTGTAGCAATTACTGACCATAAACATGAGTTTGATATCATTTTGCATTTTCTTCAAAAACTTTTCACCGTTAAGTCTATTTCCTTCTATTTTAAATGGAACAAATCGATCAGACCTTGTTGATTTATTTTATGCAAATCTGCTGTGATGATTTGTGCCTTTTCGGACCAACAGATGGAATCGAATGCTCATCTGAGTTCAAACTTGACTTCGTCAGTCCAAGCAATTTTAAGGGAGAAGCCCGAGTGTAATCAGATTCCGCGACAAAGCAAAATTTGGAAAAAATGCATGCTTTGGATAGCAATAAGTGAAGATGGTCATTCAGAACCATTTTCATGAAAGCTCTGGTGCCATAAATGCGGACATTTATATCAATGAACTACTTAAAAAAGATTTGTTCCAATGCTTAACAAAAATCATAATTATCGCTGTGTATTTTACCTGATTTAGCGTCTCCACACTATGCCAAAAAAACAATTGACTTTCTTAGCGGCAATTCAGTGAACTACGTGAGGATTAGATGATACACCAGTTGTCTGTCCAATTTCATGTGTATTTGTATTAGATACCAGACCTGATGATTCCAGTGCATTCGGATGTGATTACCAAGAAAATGACTTATTGGCTAGTAATGGTGTGTTAATTTATTCAATTCCATATCATAGTATCTTATTGTTTGTTTATTTATGTGTATTTGTATTAGATGCGAGACCTGATGATTCAAGTCGACGCGCATGTGACAATTTTGATTACCAAAAACATGACTTATTGGCTAGTAATGGTGTGTTAATTTATTCCATATCATAGTATCTTATTGTTTGTATATAGACGTAATATTTCGTTTCGTTAACAAATAACTAATTTCCCTTCTTAATCTATTTATAGTTAATTTAGACGCAGCAATATGTAACGGAGAAACTGACAAACTTTCTGAATGCCAACAAGTTACTCTTCAAACTGCTAAAAAGCGGAAAATTGATGAGTTTATTGAAAAGAGTAAGTATTTAGTTTACGTAATTTTATTACTTATATCTTTATTTGATCAATGTATTGTCTTTGGATTATTTGATTTTCTAGATAATCTTTCTGTATATATGCGTATTAATAAAAATACCAAGTATCCTGTTATTGAATCGAGGGTGGCTGATGCCCATTGTCGAGATGGAGACTTGAAATTAGAAACTGCCGCACATAACACAAAAGATGAAAATGTAAGTTTTTGCTTCTTGTAATGCTAGTATACTGATGGTATTTTTTTATTTAGTGTTTAGATTTGAATTCATTCTTAATCTCATTGTATGAAAATTTGAGTCCTGAATATTGTAGACTATGTTTGAAAAGTATTTTCTTCTCAAACAAAAAAAATTATGTAGTTGATACCCAGTTTCGCGAAAAATTATTATCTTTCATTCCTTTTCACCCTTTGATGCATCAAATTAATTCTGTTAACACTTATATTGAAGACAATTTTGTTGTTGGTAAGATTATTTGTTTGTGTTTAAGTTGCCATAAATGCTTAAAATTTGGTAATTTTAGACAAAATTTCTTTCTTAATGGGTTTTTGCCTGAATTGTCTGTTAGTGTTTTTGAGAATTGATCAAAATCTGAATTTCAATGTATACGTCGAGTCAGTCCATTCATAAATTTGATTAGGGGCCATCAAAATTTTTATCAAACAAAATTTAAAGGAGATATAATATACTTTCCGCAAGATTTACAAGAGGTTTCAAATGTTCTACCGCGAGTGTTAGGTCAAGATGAAGTTTATATGCTTGAAAAACGGCATCTTAGCTCTAAAGATATTCAAAATTTTCTGATCAATCCTTTCAAAGTACATCAATGTTTACAATGGTTGTCTTTAAATAATAGACATTATATCAATTGCGAAGTATCACTTGCGAGAAATCCTACCCCTACAAATTTACATATTATTAACATTGTAAATTTCAAAGCAGTTGATAATAAGGACTTTAAAATACTGTTATCTAAATCTTTATTGGCCTTGTTTGATAATTTATCTAAAAAAGGTTTGCTGTTTGACAATTATTTTTACTTTTTTCTAGTTGTTTCGCTCCTTTGTAAAAGTAGATCTATTGAATTTTGGTCTCCCGAATTTTTTGATTACATTTTATTGTTAACTGATCAAACTCAACGTGGGTTTAATTTGTCACAGTCACCTGTAGAAATATTTACAAGGATATGTGATATTGATTGTAATTTTAGAATAGGCAAAGGTACTTCTTTTACAGATCCGCCGCATCAATTTTTACATAAATTTCTTGTTGAGATTGAGCCAGTAAATCGTCCTTATTTAGTTGATATTGACGCAAATAGTTTCATTTTTTTTAGGCTTACTCTATTTTACGTTATTCGGTTAGATGGGTATACACAAACTGGTCGTCGCAGTTGTAAAACTAGCAAATCATGTAAAGGTATTGTTTTTCAATTCGAGGATTCGACTGCCTTAATTAAATTTCTTATTGATCATTTTCGAGTGAAGCGTTCTTCCATCTTTACTATATATTATATGTATTTGGAGTCTGAAAGATTAGTAGAACTTGAGGAAGCGAGAACAACTGAAGATGTGGTAGATGAATGTATAATGTTACCCACAGATGATAAGCAATATTGTGTTGAAGATATAGTTAATGCATGCACAAATAGCAAAATGATAGTTTTCGAAAGGTCTAAATTTACTCCACTTAATAGTTATCATGGGTTGAAGTATGAAGAGTTAGCTTTTCCCAATTTGTTCCCTTTTGGAGTTGGTGGTTATGTATGTCTTAGTTCAGACGAATTGCCTGATCCGCTCAAACTGTTAAATAAGCGAAGTAAAAAACGTATTGAATTAAAATCTTATATTAGATCTCGCGTATGGCATTTTAATTCAAAGCAAAATCGATGTAAAGAGTATCTTTATTATTTATTAGTCGCTTACGAAAAAGATCTTTCCATTAATAATACGAATTTATTTTCACGGTTTGAAAATCAGGCTAAAACAAGTTTATTGCAAGCTAAACTTCATACATCGATGAAAGCTTTACGAGGCTATTCTACATACTGGAAGAAAGCCTTAACGGATTTACTTGCAATGGTTGGTTTGTTAGGACCTCCAAATTTCTTTATGACTTTTTCAGCAAATGAAATTGGTTGGAACGATTTGTTAAAATTTCTTTATTACCGTAAATATCAAATTCTTCTTTATCCTGCAAATTTAACAATGCTTGATAATAAGGCAAAAACTAAGTTGGTTAACGATGATCCTACCGGAACTGTGATTTATATTG